TAGGCCTGCATATATGCATATGTGTGCCTGTGTCTGTATACATATGTACACACATATGTACACACATGCCAGTATATGTATGCTATTTGGTAGAAAGCGATATCAGCGCTGCTACACCTATCTGAGTACTCGCAATGGGCGAAAGAATACTTTTGCTGGCTGATCATTAAAGTGAACATCATCATGGGGCATTGATACTCGTAGCTGGACGCTTGGCCATATCGAAGGCTAATGCCATCTATTGCCCAAAATTAATAGAAACTAATACGTGTGGGTGTGTGGCTGTGTGTGTGTGTGTGTGCATATATGTTGGTCGGTAGTGAAAATTTTGTGAACCGTATGTGCTGCTAATCTAATCGTTGCCGCAATGTTTGCGAAAAGCTTCACGTGGCTTTATGGCAAAGACGGTAACGGTGGTAGTGAGGGGCATGGACGGGGGCAGGGTTAATGGCATGGGCGTGCGTGCGTGCCAGAAGTGTGACAGCCAGCTACTTGAAAATAACTTTAAAATCGCATCATATCGTAATACTAATAATAATAATATTAATGCCTTAAGCGGCAAAAGCGTCGATTGTCGTTAAGAGCGCTTTGTTTGAACAACTTGAAAAGGTAATCAATAGTATACGTATATATTTATATTGACTGTTGGGGGCCACCCCACATGGCGGGTTAATTAATGAGCGAGTTTGCGTGAAAATTGATAAACTGCATTTGGCAGGCGGGTATTATGCGATCACACGAAAACACACATATCTCAACAGTTATACATAATGAATCGTTTTGTTGGCTCGCCTTTTGCGTTCCTCCTTTTGGTTTGCTTTGTTTTGTTTTGCCATCTTTTTGATTCATTCATTGTTGTGCGAACGCGCCCTTTTGCGTATTTCGATGTTTATTTTTTTGATTGATGTGCAGCCGGATTACGGAAAACGAATGAGGTGGATGGAGGATGGTGGATGGTGGAAGGTGGAAGGTGGAGGTGCAGAACGCAGGCGCACATTTTGCCAACTGATTGTTATTGTTCCTTCTCTGGCGCCTAAACTAAATATTTATAAGCAATTTCATTTCACACGCTCTGGCAACGCCGACGTTAACGCCAACGCCAACGCCGACGCCAACGCCAACGCCATTGCGGCCGATGCTCAATGAGAGCCCATTTCTATGTGTATGTGTGTGTGTAATGTTGTGCTACCAAAAAAGATCGTCGCGTGTAACACAAACCAGATTGTCATGTGAATCTTTTTATCTTATAGACAAAGTCAAAACATACACACACACACACACACATACATATAGTACGAATGGAGAGCCCGTTAGTTTTCTAAAGAATTGAAATGCGTTTGCATTTCGTTTTTTTGCTTTGAATTATAGTTTTTGATTAAAGTTGGGAGGAAGAATTTTGCAAAAGCATGTTAATAAGCATTTTCGCACATAAGCCTAAACTTATACACACACACATACACACACACAAAAACACATACAAATAGACGTTTGCATTGCAGTTCATGTTGAGGGGGAAAGAGATTGTTCATAGAGCAGAGGCCACAGATATCGATACATTGCTACTGCGGGCTAGAACTTAAAGCCAATGTGTATAGTATGGCCAGTTACGCTCTAGCTACCAATACAGTCGAAAGGCAGTCATGTATTTGTTCTTGTTGTTATTGCTGTTGTTGCTGCTGCTGTTTCTGTTGTTGTTTGTCTCGTTTTTGGCGCACACTTGACACATGTGTGTAGTTGCGAAGTTTATTTTGATTTTTAACACATTTTTCGATGTTTTTGTAGTCGTCGAGTTGTATAAAGAAAAGAAAAAAACGCTTCATTTTTTTCCACATTTTTTCACATTTTTGTTAGCTGTTTTTTTCCACACACGTATATTAACACCAAATTGCAGTGAAGGCGGGCGGCAATTTAGACGAAATTTTTGCCATAGAGGCTAAACTTGCTGCCACTTCTGTCCACTAGCAAGCTCGTAAGTGTGTGAGTCTCGTATTGCTATCGATCTCCATCTCCAGCTAGAAGTAATTAAAGCCTGCATGCCATGTAGACACATCGCTTTTGGTTCTCAACTGGTTGGCCCTGATCGGCGACTGCAGTTTGCCAAATTTGTGCCGCCGATCAGAAACAACAGCAGCAACTTCAAGCTGAACAACTGCACCCAGTTGCATTTTAAGTCGAGCGTATTGTTGTTGTTTTCTGTTGTGTGTGTTATTGGGGTCCAGTTGGTGACACGCCCGCAAAACTGCGCGCCTTGCATTTGCATGAGGCCGCCATACATTGATTTACATACATAAGGCAAACGCTTTAAAAACGTTCGTGGCCATGCCTGAGTGGCAGTCGAAAAAAAATAATAACGAATACTTTACAATTCGATGTATGTACATATGTATAGTATGTATGTTTATATGTGTAGTATGTGTCTGTATGAATGTGTTTTTTTTTTATTATTATTATTTCTCGTATTTTGATTATTGTGTTTTTATTTATGCGCGGCAGCCTTCGACAAAACTCTGGGCAAGTGTTATTGGGGTTTTACTCGTATTGTTGTTGTTCTTGTTCTTATTGTTGTTGTTGTTGTTTGTGGTTTATCGTGCGCGCATGTTACCGTTACTCAAACTGCAAACAAACAAACGAGCGACCGACCGACACGGCGCAGCAATTCAAAGCAACTGACTTGGCCGATGTCTCCATAAATGGCGAGCAGCTGTTGCCAAAGCTTTGAAGTGAGTTTGCTGAGAGACAGAAGCAGCCAGATAGCTGGACACATTGACGGACGAACGGACGGTCACACGAACAGGCAGGCAGGCAGGCAGGCAGGCAGACAGACAGACAGACAGACAGACGGGCAAGCAGACGGGCAGACCAGGTCGATAAACGCCGCTCCATGATCGGCTGGCGCTCAACGCTGAGGCGATGAGGCGCTGAGCGATCAAGTTTCAATGGAACGTGAGCAAGCTCATACACACACACACACACGCACACACACACAAGCAAAAACACAGTCGCACTCACCTACTTGAGTAGTAGCTCTTAAGTAAACGCTCTGGCAGCTACCGTGCTTCCCATTGATATGCGCAGCTAAGGGCAAGCTGTTAATTAGCCAAACGACTTCGGCGAAAAGAGGGGCGAATAAACAGAACAAACAGCTGCGCCCCGACAAGCTTAACAGCTGACTGCCAGCTCGTATTTCCAGTACCGCGTCATTAAGGCCAAGTTTACACGGGTCATTTCGATCACTTGGCTAAAATCACTTAGAATGCCGGTAAAAGCTAAACCGCCGTGGTGTAGGAATTCATTGAAGGGCAATTTCTTTTAAATTTGTTCTTTCTCATGTTCTGATCAAAACATATTCTATAATCCCTACTACAAATTGTTAAATTACCATAGTGATAAGCTGGTTTATTGTTTGGTTAGGCATTTTACTTTTCTTTTAATGTTCTCGTCTTAATGTTTGAGAACCACATAATCCTCAATATCTTATTGTTAATAAACCAGCTAAAACAATTCCTATATCAGCAACAGAAGAATAAGAAATTAAAATCTTTAAGACATTTTGACGTTAACAAACTAATTCGAATTCTATTAAATCTAAACTTTAAATATAATAATTGTAAAAAAAAAAACAAGAAAGGAATGCTAAAGTCGAGCAGGCTCAATTCTTAAATACCCTGTACCTCCCACCAAAAGGGGGAAAAAAATATTTAATAAATTTTAAAAAATTATGTTCATGTACAGTTTCAACAGCATACATTTGCATCAGAATCGTGTCTCTGCGTGTTTATATGCGTGTATACTTATGGCTATAACTTCTTTCAGAATTGACCTATCATGATGAATTTTGGCATACGGATACATAACAACAAACTGGATGTATAGTATTTGCCAAAATTTTCAAAGTTCCAAAAATTACAGGAGCTATGAAAAACACGAATTGCGGGGAGTGGGGGGGGGGGGGGTGGTGTATCAGAAAAAAAACAAAAAAAAATCTTTAGCAAGATTAATCCCAGCTAAAATTATTGAACTGGAGCTTCTACATGAACTCAAAATATTAGTTAGTTATTATACATATTCTATATTATATTTTAAAACTAAAAATGCAAGAGCCTAAGAAACAATATCCCTCTGAAAACACAACGGAATGAGCAAGCAAGCGTCCGCATGACTGACTAGGTAGGCATATCCAGAGTAAACAATAAAAATTCTCGTATCTAGAGACTACTTGGCTGTTCCGACAGGCTAATTATAGAATGTGTTATACACGTATATTGCGTAGGCTTAGTTCATTTTTGTCACATTTTGAAATGTTTGGAAATCAATGCTTTGATAATCAACGAGCAAAGGCATGACAACTACTTTACTTTATTTTTGTGAAGAGCTACTATTTTTAACTGCTTATCAAAAAACCAAGCCCCAAAAGTTGCTGTAATCTAACATTTGTACCGGAGCTCTTGGGGAGGCAGGCAGATTGTGTGAGCAGCATTGGTAACCGCTTAGCCTCACTTTGATTATACTAATGAGGATGTCTAGCTGAAACCTATTGTTTGCTAGGCTTTCTAATAAGATGCTCCAAAAACTCCTACTTCTAATTATAAGAAATGTAATTGCTCCATCAAATTACGAGGTAAATAATACAAGTAAAAGGCTTTAATTTAAAGGGATCTTTTATCGATGCATCATATCGATCGTACATCAACTTAAAGCACTTTTGGAAAACACAGTAGCTATTTTCTACTAAAAATTAACCATCAACTAAATAAGCAGGTCTCCTACTTCTACGGTATAAGTGGTATCTATAAGAAATGCAATATACTAGGATGCCATTGTTTTTCACTGGCTTTAGTTTGTCCTTAACCTGTCCCAACTGGACCTTAACAATTTGGGAGCTATGCAGCTTAATTTCGCGTATTTCAATTTGGATCCATCATACCGTTCGAATTTTCCAACCAAATGCCAAATGTCGTGATTCAATTATGAAAAATGAACTGTTTTATGGTAACTGAGCGCTACTTACTTCCTGTTGCACGTCGAACCACGCTGTGCGTGAAATTCCCCAACGCGGCGACCGTTACAATCGAGTCCTTTTTGCCAGTGCTTAGCTGAAAGGGAAATATATGAGAGCTTGATTGCATGATTGTGTGGTAGTGTGGTTGTGTGGTTATTATGGTGACCCCCAAAGGGTCAATCGAATGGGTGGATGGTTGGATATTTGGTTGCCATCTGGGAATACGAACCTTCTCACAGTCAGCCTCGTTTTTGGTTTGCATGGGATTCAATAGCAGTTGACTGCACATTAGATTTGCATGCAACGAGTCCTCTCCATGCAGACGCTCCCCGCATGTTGCACTGCCCGCAGTGCTGCCATCGCCATTCTGCAACGTCGCTGCGCCGCAGCTGCAGCGACGCATGCGGCCGCGTCGAAACTTGATGCAGAACAGAAAGTTGCCATCCTTTTCTGTGGTCGTTACAGCTGCCGACCCTGGCGCATTGCTCGCATCAAGGGGCAGGGGCGCAGAGCCGCTGCCGCTTCCTCCCCCACCTCCACCAGCTGGCGATGTGTCCAGTGTGCTTGGCGAGCAGCCCATGCTGTTGCTGTCGCTGTTGTTGTTGTTGTTGTTGTCCTTCAGCTAAACTAATTTGGTTTGGGTTTCGGTTTGCCTGGCTGACTACTCCTGGTTTGTTGTTGTTATTATTGCTATTGCCAATATTTTGTTTGCCTTTGGTATTTTGTTGTTTGAGTTTTAATGCAGCTGACTGCCCCCACTTCTCCAGCTCCTCCAGCTCCTCCTGCACCCCAGCTCCTCAGGCTTGTCCTCTGACCGAGCCTGCTGTTGCGGTTTGGGAGGTTGCTGCTGCTGTTGCTGTTGCGTTTATTAGGCTTTGATTGTTGCTGTCTCTCTGTTGATGCTGTTGCTGCTCTTGGTGTTTTTGTTGTTGCTGTTGTTGTTGTTGTTTGTGTGTTGGTGATGGTGGTGCTGCACATAATTGAAACATGTTTGGCTTATATTTTTCGAACGGCAGTCTGTTGAATGGCCAGTTTACTTTTGGTTCCTCAAACGGGAAATTACATTTCCAATTGCTGCAAAAAGAGACGAAACGAAATCACTGATTACAAAGAGTCTATCATACTGCCCTGAATAAATCGCAAATTGCTTGTAAACTAATATTTTGCCCTATTTAATAGTAAGTTCATTTTGCAAAGCAAAGCAGCCCACATTCAAAATTTTGTTGCTGACATGCCTTTAAATTCGAGCATTTGTTTACGGTTGTAAATGGGTTTATGTGAAGAGCTTTTTATGGCATATTGCCGATATAGCAGAAGGTCAAATAGAACTGAAAAAAATGCAAACTAGTTGCAAAACAAGTGAGTTATATCCACTCATAGATATTTGCAAAAAAAAGAACCTGCCACAATATTGCGTCGGCATTTAAATTTACAGCGAAATCACAAATTACTTACACCTATGTATTTTTGCAAACAAAAACAAAAATAATAATAATAAAATAATCTTGCGAGCTTCTTAGAGTCTATTGCAGCTTCCTAGAAAGAACTGAAAGCCTCAAGGTTCTCTGTTCATGTGTCGGAGAAAATTCGTTTGGAGGCGTTTAAATTTAAATTCACAAATTTCTTCAATTTACTTCCAAGAGTCTAGTTGCAGCGTTTATCACTCATTATATTATAAAACTCATTGTATTCATATAAATCATGCAACTATTAACTGGAAAAAGAAACACAAGTTTGTTGAAATGGTAAAATATGCCAACAACACTTGTCAAACATTTAAAAGGTAAGAAAAAATTACTGCACAAAAAGTGAGGATTACAATTGAAGTTTTTGGTTAATCAATCGGTGGGGAATCCCTGATCACTGAAGAATGTAGAAAGTGCTTATTTCTTTTATGAGATAAGCCAGCGGCTAACACCAGACTGCAAACGGATTTTGACATTCCAGGAATAATTCAACCAACCGCTAACCTGAATGCTATTTGTTGCAGGCTGTGAAATGTGCAGACTTTGGGAAGTTTTAAGCTAAAAAAATCGTAATTATATGTTTAAATCAGCATACGTTAAAAGTAAGTAATAGGTTTGTTTGCTACTTAGTTTGCTGCTCTTTCAAGGTTGAATAAAGGTAGCTCTTTATTATCTGTACACCTGTGTAGTCTTGCTAAGTGAGTGTTAGTCAAGATAGTACGAGAGAGAAATGTTTGAAAGCGTTCCTCCATGAATATTTGTAGTAAGCCCTTTCGTTCTAAATACCTGTAGCATACTCTCATAACAAGTTCTCATTTAAATACGTACTATACATAGATTGATATAGATTTCCGTTTTTTCTAAAATGAGTGCTTCAAAGAGTTTGGGAGTAGATATAACCAACATATTCAAAAGGTTTGATGCTTTCCACTACCTTTGCTTGCTTGCGGTTTTAAACATAATTCAGATGGAACGTATTTAGAAATTATTAAGCTTTGCGCGTGCCAGAAAATCATAAATGGCCAATATTGGCAATGATTATTGAAGCCAAGGTGCGCACTCTACGTGATTAACTTGCATAAAACATATTTCAATATTGCAATGGGTCGCCATGCTGTCAATAAATTGCTGAAAGTGTGCAAACCCGATACAACTTTTGCATCCCAAAGTTGAAAAGTTTGATTTCATTTTTTTTGCCTCCGTTGATGTTACTGCTTTTGGCCTATTTGTTGTTGGTGTTGTTGTTGCCATAAGCATGACAAGGAAATTTGATAGCCAAAAAGTATTGTCGTAAAATGCGCTGGTGACCCTTGCCGGCACGTCTCAAACACTTGACTTGTCGGGAATTTCGTAGTTTTTGAACTTGTTTACGTTTTGGCAAAATGCTTTTGGTTTCACTTTTGCGTCGCCCCAATGGGTAACGCCTGACGTCTTTGTGACGCATTTGCCTTCCTATTATCTGCAAAGGTTCTCGTTGTAAACGTATATACTTGTACAGCAAATAGAAATACCATATGAAACCAATTTTAAATATTTAGATAAAAGGCGAATGAAAAAATACCAACCAACTGATATGGACAAAACACTTTAGATTAGCAAAAGGCGACCTATTTCAAAGTTGAAACATTTAAGCAGCCGCACTGCGACGCGACGTGAGCGCGTCGTGAGAACGAGTCGATGTGTATGTTTGTGTGTATGTGTGTGTATATTTATGTACATGTAGCTGTAAACATGAGTCACACTTGCCTGATGGCTTTGGATCAAGGGACCTAGGGTGTCTGGCTGGGGGTGGCGGGGAACGAGAAAGGATTGTGTTCTAGTCTACGTCTCCCCACATTTCCATGAATGCCAGAGACATTGATTGACTTGCTAAATAGAGGAATGACAGCCTACAAGGACCAAGGACATGTGCTATTTAGTGTCACTTGTTGTCTACTCTCAGGCCAACTTCAGCACGTATGTACGTACATACATGTGTGTATTTATGCAACGAGAATAAAGTATTGAATTGTATCAAGCAAGTACTGAGAAAGAGCATAACTAAATTAAACTTTATTTAATTGGGTTCTCGGAAAGAACTCCCTCTAATTAAATGTTGATTTTTAGAACGCATTAAAGCTTATTTTAATTAGGACTAGTACTCATAATATAACTAGAAGTTGTGCAACATCGAGCAGCTATTGATTTAGTATTATAATTTAATATTTTTCAGGATTCCAACTCGATTTCATGTAAAGAGAATGGAACACGACTAAAGTTGATAAAACTATATACTTTTGGGGCCTACTAATCGACAAAGACAAAGATGTCTTTGCAAGGTACAAAGATATTTTTTGAAAATTACTAATAGTTATTAAATCATGCAACGCATACGTGTACACATATTGAAATATTAAAATTGCGATTTTTTAAAATAAATCAAATTACATATGGAACTTAATAAAACAAAAAGTTTGCTAGTGATTGTAATTTAGGCTAAAAGCTTAAGGCCCACAAAATATTCATTGCTGATCGTTTTACAGCAACTCTTTGTAGCCTGAACAACTTTTTAGTTCCTTTAACTTACACTAATCGGCCTTTGTCTTCATTTCAACATTTTCTTGGAAATCTTTTGCCCAATTAGTAACAAGACTTGCGATATTAAATAAGAAGAAGTGTCGAAGCCAGGGAGCATTGACCTATAATACTTGTATATCGAACATACTGGGGCTCAGATGAAGAAACGAAAGATAAAGAAAACAGTGGAGTTACAATTTCCGTAAAATGTACGGATGCTTTGGTAATCGACATTGGCAACTTCATTTGGAAGAATTGTTCCCATGGGAGATTTTCTTCTACTTTATTTTGGATATGTGCACATATCATACATACTATATAGTATATACCCTTATGAAGATATAGATATTATCGCAACATTTTGTTCATGGCAAATAAAAATATTGGCACGACTGTGAATGCTGGCCAGAGGCAGAAAACAAAAATACAAAAAACAAAGCAACACTCAACAAGACAGACAAGCAAGCAGACAGTCGGATATATAGTATGGATATATACCTATATTTATATAAAACAGAAAGGCAATCACTTGCAGACAATGGCCAGGCAGCTCCGATGCAAAATGTCAACCACACATACTACTTATATATACATATGTAGTTATACGGTTATGTATGTGGCGACGACATGTGTCCGGTTGTATTTGTTTAAACAAACTATTTATAGATCTGTTGAGCTAAAAAGAAGAAAATCATTTTGATTTTCTCACTTTTTTCTGTTGGCCTTTAATAAATAAAAACAAAAAACGCTGGTATGTCGTTAATTTTAGCCTGTCAGGGTGTGCGGTTCACGGCAAGGACAGCGCCAACGACCTTGCAGAGCAGGCGGCAATCAGGCAATCAACCAATCAGCCAATCGGTCCGTTGGCCCGTTAGTCTGTTAGTCTGTTAGCCCGTTAGCCCGTTAGCCTAGTGGTATGCAACAACAAAATGAAATGGCCCGTAAATATTGCGTGGGTAGGCAAAAAAGCGTGCAGCGGTACAAAATGTGCAATTTAATCGCATCAGCTACGAATTCTATTAGAGGCAATTGGATGTGCCCTAAGTTGCTGAAGCTCATTAAATTCCGCAAGCACCTTAATGTGCACAAACACACTCATTTAAATACACCTGACTATGCTTTAAGAGCCACATTGAATTCACTGCACGTTTCTCGTATATCGACACGTTTATGCAGGTGCTGCCTTCTACGAATGTAAGTGCTTTTCGTTGGTGTGTGTGTGTGTGTGTGTGTGTGTGTGTGTGTGTATGTGTCTGTGGTGAGCTATTTGTATAATAGCATCATCTGGCTGGTGTGTTCACATGATTCGCACAATACAAATTAAATCTTGGATACTTCTTTTTACATGTATGTATGTATGTACGCATCTACATACATACATATGCATACATAAGTATGTACATGTACATGTACATGCTGGTAAGTAGGTATGAATGTACATGCCGCTCATATATGGTGAACCATAACCAT